AAACAAATTGATCGATCAATATCCCTTTATCCTCCTGAAAGATTTTCAGTTATCTTCAAAGGTGCCTCATCTCTCCAGCCCTGCACAATCTGTCTAGCTTCTCTTGAGAATAAGTGAAGGGTTAAACTTCAGAGCCTCCTCTCTGGGAGGGTTATTAAAGGCATGAGGTCTCTCCTCTGTAATCAAGAGAGGAGCCTGAGGCTTTACTGGGGAGGTGTCTGTAAGCTGAAAGGAGGTGGGGAGGCAGGAAAGTGTTCTCTCTCAGAACTTTTCTAAACTCAGTGTTGCAGGAAGAGGAGGCCCCACGGAGAGAATGAGTGCCCAAACACCGTGTTTATAAGAGGAAGGGTTTTATTCACCAGCCAGGAGCTTACGGCATAGAAGAATTCCAAATGGCCGCACTCCCCGACTGGCTTGGTCTGTCCCTTTTTATCGACAGTCAAAAAGTTCCACCCCACAGCTACCCTTCTCATTGGCCAGTTTGAATCAAGTGGGAGACGCTATTCCAGCCTCTACAGAACTACAAGATTTCACAGAGCGTGGAAAGTTCCAAGTTCTAGGAAGTTAAGTTTACAAATTCCCAAGAGTTGAGTCACCACGGAGAGGACCCTGCAGGTGTATCTTTGTGGTCTCCTTGAGAAGACCTGTTCTCCTAGACCTCACCCTCCTCAGGGATCCTCTCTCAATAGACCTGAGTCTTTGACCCAAACTTACTCTGGAATATTTCTAGGACACCTGAGGTAAGGAGGAGGACCAAAGGTAACACACATATGCTTTTGTGGTGAGGACCCATCTCTCACCTAGGATGCTGACATCCTAACTTCCCTCTTTCGTCTTTGAAAAGCTCTTTAAACCAGAGGAAGTTTCAAAAATGGATGCTACACATACCAGTTGTTGGTTAGAGAAGGCTGGGAGTCCCTGAGTCTTCTGAAAACAGGTATTAGGTTTGTAATTTCATTCTGGCTCCCTCAGTCGGGGTCCCATGAAAAAGCCAGCAGAATCTCAAGACTTTCTTCCTCCATTCTTTTTCTTTTTGAGACAGAGTCTCACTATGTCACTCTCAGTAGAGTGCTGTAGCATCATAGCTCACAGCAACCTCAAAACTCTTGGGCTTAAGCGATTCTCTTGCTTCAGCCTCCCAAATAGCTGGGACTACAGGCACCCGCCATAATGCTCAGCTATTTTTTGTTTCAGCTGTCACTGTTGTTTAGCTGGCTTGGGCTGGGCTTAAACCTGCCAGCCTCTGTGTATGTGGCTTGCGCCATAACCACTGTGCTATGGGCGCTGAGCCTCCTCCCCCTTAAAAAAAATATTTCTAGGAAATACCAAAGTAATTTCACTCTAAGGAGACTTTTCTCGAGTATCATAGTAGCTTCCTTCAACTGATAATATTTGTCAGGATCAAGTCCACAGTTGTTAGGATGGCAAATAAGGGCCCTGCCCAGGTGGGCCCAGGCTCTCCCCTGGCCTTCCACTCCTCCCCAAGCTCCAGGCTTGACAACTGCTTGCTGGCCCCTATGGACACCACATTCCCACCCATCTGCCCCGAAAGGAAGGCCTTTATTTCTTCTCTTTCTAGAATTCCTGTGCATCCCTGAAGGATGGAAATTAGAAATCACAAACATGGTAATTATTTACATACCATACGAAGACATTCCACCTCCCCATCCTCTTAGACTATATATGGTTCCCTTCTAGGCAGAAATGTCTTATTTTACTTTATATATCTAATTTTTTTGCTGGTAAGACAGATGGACAGAAACTTTTGAGTAAACAAATGCCGTACTGGAACCACCTGAAAAGCCACATGATTGGTTTTGCTTGCTTCACAGAATGCTGATTTCATCTTGTGCTAACATTTTTTTTTCACCTAGGTTCTTGAGAAGGACAATTTTTACAAATACAGATACAGGCCAGCTGTCCTCCTGAGCCCCCAGAGAGTTTTCTTCCTGGGTGAGGACTAGATATTTATTAGAAATACTTCTGGGAAACAGGTAGAGGTTTGGGACACGAGGGGATGCTTTCCAAACTATGGGTGTGCCACAAATGTTGACGACAATCAGGGTTTTTCTCTGGACGAGTTCAGAAAGAATAGGGTGTCTCTAAAAGTTTTTCTTCTTTTTAATCTGTAGAACACCTCTTCCTTTTGCCTAGAGATGAACTGTAATGCAGGCCTTACATAGATGCCTTCAGGTTTGATGGAGGCCTGTCGATGGGCGTCCAGGGAACTCTCCAGGGGCAGACATCCTTTTTATTTAGCGTTTTCTCTTTTTAACAAGTTCTGCCCTTGGCCTCCTTCCTCACCCAGGGAGGGGAATGGGTGACTCGAGAGCCACTCCTGTTAACTGGAAGGAATGGGGTGTTGCCCGGCACAAAGCCAGGAACTTGAGCTCTGCTAAGGAATAGGGTCTGGGCAGCTGCTGCCCCTCGGAGCAAGGCTGGCAGCCAGCTCGCCGGGAGTCTGGCTACCTGCGGGAGGGATTCTTCTGCTCCTGACAACAGGCAATTTGTTCAGCCCTCCCTGCCCTCATTCCTCTCCTGCTGCTCTTCACTGTATCTCTGAGCTCTTTGGTAACTCTATCTCTCACCAAATTTTGCAATTTGTTGTGGACTTCAAAACCCCAGGCCTCTCTACCTATGCTTACTCTGGAGCTGCATTTTCTTGCCAAGTTGAAAGCCAACCAAGACCGAGTTTCCTTAACTCTTTGTCTTTCAGGCTCCTGAAGCTGAACTCGTCTGGCCTACATACCAGAAAGGCTGCCTCTTAGCCTCCCTTGCCACCATCAGGACGGTCCCCCCAGCAGTCTGATTTTAGGTTTCTCTCTGACCTAGAAGCTGACAAAGGAGTCACACTATTTTCAGAAACCCCGTCACACTACACGTTGGTGCATACACACAGCTCCAGTTCACTCGGGGCGGCCTCTGCGTCTCTCTGGTCCTTTTCCTTCTCTAGTTTCTTGGTTCCTTTGCTTTCTCTTCACCTCTGTATTTTGCCTCTCTTTTGGTGAAATTTTCTCTTTTCTCTCCTTTCCTTATGATGTTTCATTTATTTGTTTTTTTTCTGCTCAGCCTATCCCTTTCTTTCACTCCTGGGAACTGCTCTACTCCAAGGTTCAGCTAGGAGAGCTCATGAATCACTGAAAGTTTCCAGGCTGTTAATCTGGGGATAAGGGCAATTTCTGGCCCAGCCTACTTCTTAACTGCATGTGTCATCTTTATCCTGCTCCCATTGCTCTGTCCCTGCCGCTTTATTAATCTATAAGGATGATCCGCCCTCTTTCCAGACAAGGAGACACCTTTTCTCATTTAAATTTCCCAACTCTTTATTTATTTACTTTTTGAGACAGAGTCTTACTTTGCTGCCCTTGGTAGAGTGCCATGGCGCTACAGCTCACAGCAATCTCAAACTCTGGGGCTCAAGTGATTCTCTTGCTTCAGCCTCCTGAATAGCTGGGACTACAGGTGCCTACTACAATGCCTGGCTATTTTTAGCCATGAGGTCTCACTCTGGCTCAGGCTAGTCTTGAACTTGGGACAGCCAATCAACCTGTCTTGGCCTCCCAGAGTGCTAGGATTACAGGCATGAATCACTCAGTGCCCAGTATAAATTCCTCAACTGTTTAGACTTCTCAGACAGATGGCTGCCCTAAAAAATGGCAGATGAATGCTCAGACACAAAAAAGTTATTATGAAAATGTTTTCTTTGAGAGCCCGCTGGTTATTCATATAATTATTAATTTTTTTTTTTTTGAGATAGAGTCTTTCTTTGTTGCCCTTGGTAGAGTGCTGTGGTGTCATAGATCACAGCAACCTCAAACTTTTGGGCTCAAGTGATCCTCTTGCCTCAGCTTCCCGAATAGCTGGGACTACAGATGCCTACCACAACACCCAGATGTTTATAGAGATGGGATCTTCTTGCTCAGGCTGGTCTGGAACTCTTGACCTCAAGCAGTTCACCCACCTTGGCCTCCCAGAGTGCTAGGATTACAGGTGTGGGCCACCTCTCCTGGCCTTGATTATTCACATTAGTTGTTATTTGGTGGAAAGAGCACTGTACTTTTATTTATTTATTTTTTTTTGAGACCGAGCCTCAAGCTGTTACCCTGGGTAGAGTGCTGTGGCATCATAGCTCACAGCAACCTCTAACTCCTGGGTTCAAGCGAGACTCCTGCCTCAGCCTCCCAAGTAGCTGGGACCACAGGTGCCCGCCACAATGCCCGGCTATTTTGTGATTGTAGCCGTCATTGTTGTTTTGGCGGGCCCGGGCTGGATTCGAACTGGCCACCTTAGGTATATGTGGCTGGTGCCTTAGCTGCTTGAGCCACAGGCACCGAGCCAGTACTATATTTTTAAAAAAACATTCTGGCTTTGCCACCTAGTAGCTGTGCAACCTTGGGCAAATCATTTACCTTCCTTGGGTTCTTAGTGTCCTCACTGGCAAAATGGGAATGTTTCACGGGGGTGTTCTGGCAACTTTGCAAACTTCATTGGCATGGTAGGGTAAGTGAGCCACGATGGTGTCCAGATTCTTTCGGTCTTTCAAAGGTTAAGGACTGTTAAGCATTGAGATTTGATCTGGTCTGTTTGTTTCAGCAGCCTCTCTCAGGAAGGTCCAGAAATCCTTGTGGAAAACAAGTAGCTAAAACTGAGGGTTATCAGCTGTAGGACTTTGTTCACTGCGGGTCCCAGGAATTCTGATTTGTGTTCTGAAGTTGCAGTGAATCCAGCCCTAGGCTAATGTGGCCCTGGGGTGGTGCTTTGGGAAGAAGAATCACTGCAAGGTGGTTTCAGCATTTCACTTCCCAGGCGAGCCTAGTGCCTCTTAAAAAGGGTGTGTGTGGCCAAACCCAAAGCAGCCTCGGACGTTTGGGGCTGGCACCACCTCCGCTGGCTGTTTCCCAGGCCATCTAGAGGCCAGAGCCCAGTTAGATTAACTGAAGAGTAAAGAAAGGACTTCTGAGAGTCAGAGACCTTTGTGCAGACGTGCTGTAGCCTAGAGGGAGGGAGGGAGGGAGGAAAGAAGGAGGGTGCTGGGAGCTGAGGCCCCACCTTTCATTTCAGCAAAGTGCACAGCCAGAGCAGGATGAAATCACAGGCATAGGTAAGGGACTTGGACTCCTCTCTCTGGGAAAACGGGGCACTTGCTCTGTCTGGAGTGGCCTTGGCAGGGCATTGGAGCCATTGGTCTGCCCAGTCTGGCCTCTGGGCCCAGGGCTGGGTTTCCCTCATGTATGGCAAGAACCCTACTCGTGTGGTGCTTTTTCTCCTGGGCATACAGCTCACAGGTAAGAGCCGGAAGGCTTCTCTCAACACTTTGTCCTTCGTTTCCTCCTCTGTAAAGTTAGCTAATAGTCAAAGAAGTTGCAAGAGTTTGGTCTGGGAGCCGGAGCCCCAGTTGCAGTTTACTTTAGTTTGGATTTTACTGAAACCAATTTGGTGGGTTGTTTTGGGTAACCGCTTTTGGACAAACAGGTTTAGGTGTGTTCAGCTGCCAGTGATTCAGGCACAGAGAGGGCTTTTTAATCTCAGGTTACACACATTTTTTTGGGGTAGCCGCTCTCAACCTCCTGCTGCTGGCGGGACTTGGCACTTGTATTTCTGCGTGTGGGTCTTGTCTGGGACTCTTAGCAGTACTGGGAAAGCTGAGATTGTTACAGAGAGAGGCCCGCTGTGGTTTTGAAACTGCCCCAACATACACATTCTAAATGTAAATATGGTTAAAAAAAATAAAGCCACGTGGTCTAAAGGTTCCAGGGTGCAGGTAAACATAAGCTGTCTGGAGTTGATTAATTCAATTTTGGCAGAAGACTGGTCAGTGTGAAACGCACATAATTAGGACCCTTTCTGGAAAACTTAACCTGGGAGGAGACCATTTTCCAAACGACACATAATGCTTAATCTTCGTCCATAATGTGATGTCTAATCAATGTTACGATTCATTTAAATTTTTATTTCTGCTTTCCATTGTATTTGCTGATGTTGGTAGTTTGTTATGCCGGTTTTGAAGTTGGTACCATGGGGCTAGGAGAGCATGCTGTGGAGAAAGTAAGAGAAAGCTGGCCGGGCGGTATTTTTAGTGTCTGTCTGGAATGGGAAGGTCAAGGTTGCATATGGGTAGGAGTATGCAGACGAGGGGTGAAGTAGATTTGGAAACTGGGGCATCTCAGTTATACTCTATTCAGATCTTTATTTTGGGAGTGTCAGCAGAAGTTCTCACAATACTTTATAGACCTGGTTAACCCTTCTTTCTCTTCACTGCAGCTCTCTGGCCCATAGCAGCGGTGGAAATTTATACCCCCCGGGTGCTGGAGGCTGTTAATGGGACAGATACCCGGTTAAAATGCACTTTCTCCAGCTTTGCCCCTGTGGGCGATGCTCTAACAGTGACTTGGAATTTCCGTCCTCTAGATGGAGGCCCTGAGCAGTTTGTAAGTAGATTATTGTCATTTTCCAGGGGACCCTTGGTTAGGATAATAATGAGCCAGTCCATCTCTCTTTGCTCTTCCAGTGTTTTTCTTAGCAACAAGCAATGGGTTAAGTGGGGCAACAATTCTAGGGAGACTGACAAAACTGAGAGGCCCGGGAAGGGGGAAGCAAGGGAGAGAGCTGGCAGGTGCCCAGTTAGGCTCACCGGTATTTCTCTTCTGCGCCTGCCTTCTCAGCCTCCTTGCCCGGGTACTGAGTAAGAAAGACCTTCTGTCTGTTCTCCTCTCCAGGTATTCTACTACCACGTGGATCCCTTCAAACCCATGAGCGGGCGGTTTAAAGATCGGGTGGGCTGGGATGGGAACCCAGAGCGGTATGACGTCTCCATCAGGCTCTGGAAACTGCAGTTCGATGACAATGGGACGTACACCTGCCAGGTGAAGAATCCCCCCGATGTTGACGGGGTGATAGGGGAGATCCGGCTCAGCGTCGTGCACACTGGTAGGTTACGTACGACAGGGAATAGTGGTTTGGGGGACGTGTGAGAGCGTGCAGAAAAGAGAAGGGCAGTCTTTTGTGATGGCTGAAAGGGTTAGAGAGGGACTACCCTCTCTGAGAGCTGGGAACTGAAAAGTCCTGGGGTAAAAGAGAAAGGCTTTGTTTGGCTGTGGAAAGAAACAGAAAGTAAAGCAGAGGGACTCCGAATCTGCTACAAAAATGGCTTTGAGACTGTGAAAGGGAAAGGAAGCATCTCTCCGATAAAAGGCTAACAATAGTTCTGTTCATCCACTTATTCATTCAAGGTACTTACTGAGTATCCACTCTGCGCTAGGCACTGCCCAAAGTGCTTGGGGTGCACTGGCTCATGTAACACTCACACGACCCGAGGAAGCAAATGCCAGTCATGGTAGCTAACGCTCAGTGAGTACTTCCCAACGTCAGGGCTCCATGTGGCAGACCTTGTCGGTCTGTCATGCAGTTAGTGCCTCCCATTTTACCGATGAGGAAACCGAGGCTGGTAAAGATTAAGTCCCTTTCCCAAAGTCACCAAGCTGATAAATGGAGGAACTCTGAAGAAGTTGGTTGGGCACTAGGTTGACTCTAAAGTTGTGCTCCAAACAGGTGCACTGTCGTCTGCAGCCCTGTAAAGGGCACCCTGGAAGACCCTGCTAGGGAACAAAGGGCAAAATATGTCAAACTTACCTGTGGAAGGTCTGGGCTGGAGTCCTTGTTACCATTTGCCAGCTATAAATAAATCTGAATTTTTCTCATCTGCAAAGTGAATATAGCAAGGATTATGGTGAGGATAAAATAGTAAATGTGAACATTCCCCAAACTCTAAATTGTACTGACAATTATAATAGCCACCATATATTGAGTGTTTATTTTGTATAGGCATGGCCTAGAACAATTTGCATGAAATTTTTAAAAGTAAGAACTCAAGAAATGAGTATCATTAGCTCTATTTCATACACGAGGAAACTGAGGCTCACAAAAGGTAATTACTCCAAATCACACAGCTAGTAAACAGTGGAGCTGATATTTTTTTTACTGCTCTTTTATAAACATAAAAGTATTCTATGTTTTCCACCTTTTTTCCCTTTAATTTCAAGATATAAAGGGGGTACAGATGTTTTGTTATAGGGATACCTCATGTACGGTTTAGGTCAGAGCTTTTATTTTCTATTTTTTGAGATAGAGTCTCACTATGTTACCCTTGGTAGAGTGCCGTAACTCTTGGGCTTAATCGATTCTCTTGCCTCAGTCTCCCAAGTAGCTGGGACTACAGGCGCCCGCCACAATGCCCAGCTATTTTTTGGTTGTAGTTGTCATTGTTGTTTGGCAAGCCCGGGGTGGATTTGAACCTGCCAGCTCTGGTGTATGCGGCTTGGCGCCTTTGTCGAGCCAAAGGTCAGAGATTTTAGTGTGCCCGTCACCAGACTAGTGTTCCTATTGTGCGTCATAGGTAAGTTTTTATCCCTCACCCCTCAAAGCTGATATTTTAACCTAGCACTCTCTGATGTGCACTCTTAACCAACACACAATATTACTACTCCAAATGTATAAGCCAATAAAGTGGTATGATCTCCTTTCATTCCTAGTAGACTTTCAAACTATTTCTCAAGGCCTCCATGATAGAGAACTGTGTGACTCAGATAAATCATCTGAGTATTGAAAGAAGTAACATTATAGTTCTGGACCTTGTCTTCTTTGTCTGCAGAATGAATAGGTTGGACGAAAAAAACCAATGGTTCTTAAACATTGGCAGATCACTACTCTGAGAATTGGAGCTCTGCTCCCCATAAAATATGAAGACATACACAATGAGATGTGGATTTTGTGGGCTTGGGGATGACCCCCAATCCTCTTTCATGGACTCAAGGTTGGGAAGCCTTGGGCTAGACATTCTCTGGTGTCTTTTCTGACTCTGTGAGCTTACTGAAGTTTAAATCCCAAAGGACAGGAGAGTCAGGGTTCACAGACTCTAGTCTGGTTCCCTCTTTCATTATTTATTCACTAGACTGTAGTCACCCATTTACTTGCCTAAATCCCCAGTGGAAATGAGCTCCATGAGGGCAATGTCCTTTTGATTTGCATTGCTATCACAGTCCCTGGAACATAGTAGGCTCTCAATAAATCAGAATACATGACTAAATGACAGTGGTACTGAGAGGGAGTCAGGGAGAAATTGGTTGGGCACTAGGTTTGATAAGGTTGGCAATAACCTTACCCCATAGGTGGTTCAATCCACCCAGTGGTTTTCACATCAGAAAACCTGCATCAGAATCACCGGGAGGAAATGTTAAAATCTAGATTGCGGGGCCCCACCTCTAGTGTTTCTAATTCAGTAGGTCTGGTGGCGGGTGGGCTGAGAGTTTACATTTCAAAGTTCTCAAGTGATACTATTGCTGCTGCTTCTAGGATCACACTTTGAGAACCACCAAGGCAGGGGTGTCCAACCTGCAGATTATTTGAGGATTATTTTCCTTATCCATGGTCGGATATCACAAAAAGTATGTAAGGACCTTTTCTTTTGCTCCTTAGCTTTTGTTAGTGTTTGTGTATTTAATGTGTGGCCCGAGACAACTCTTAATCGTCTACTGTATAACAGAAAAAAGGCTGGACACCCCTGCAAGTATCACGGTTTCCCACTGCTGCTAAGGTTTACGATGTAGTGTGGTATTTTATGCATATAGGTAGGAGAAAGGAAGATTCCACCTTCTGATGGTCCTTGTTATGCTTTTAGATTTCATCACAGGCCTCTTGTTAGAAACCTAACTTGATCTTTTTCTCCTTACAGTACGCTTCTCTGAGATCTACTTCCTGGCTCTGGCCATTGGCTCTGCCTGTGCAGTTATGATCATAATAGTAATTGTGGTGGTCCTCTTCCAGCAGTTCCGGAAAAAGCGATGGGCTGAAAGAGCTCATAACGTGGTGGAGATAAAATCGTAAGGCTGGGCAGTTCTGGGGAAAGTCTTCTATTACCCTGACATCGACTCTTGGAATTGTGCGATGGGGCTAACTAGCTATTGGACAGATCTTCTCTTTGAGTCAATCCTACATGAAAAGAATTCAAATTCACACCCCAGATAACTTAGGTGTGAATTTGTAATTTTCAAAAAGGATTTTACTATAGAATTTCTTTACTTTGTGGGATTTGATTTTATAAATATCTGCTTACGAGGAGTTTTTCTAAAGTATCCCTTACTTTTAACGGGAAGCACGTGTTTGTAAGACCCACTGGGCCGTCGGCAGGGCCACTATGAGTCAGTGAGTAGGAGGGTCTGCTGCGCTGATGGCGGGTGCTCACTAAACATATTTTAAAATTGAGGTAAAATTTACATACCACAAACTCCACCCCTTTCAATAGTTCTAAAGTTATGCAATAATCATCATTAATTCCAGAATCTTTTAAACTTCCCTTCCTCAAAAGAAACCCCATGTCGTTTAGCCATAACTCTGTATTTTCCCCTCTACCAGCCCCTGACAACTACTTAACCACTATTGTGGACATTTCATTTAAATGGAATCATACAATATGTGGCCTTTTTTTTTTGCAGTTTTTGGCTGGGGCTGGGTTTGAACCCACCACCTCTAGCTTATGGGGCTGGCGCCCTACTCCTTGGAGCCACAGGCGCCACCCCAATATGTGGCTTTTATGTCCAGCTTCTTTTATTTAATATGTTTTCAAGGTTCACGCACATTGTAGCACGTCTTAGTACTCCAGGCCATTTTAGGGCTGCCTCGTATTCCGTTGTATGAATACACTGCGTTATTGGTAACTCATGCATTAAGTGCTGGGCATTTAGGTTTTTCTATTTTCTGGCTGTTATGACTAAGGCTACTAGGATCATTCATTTACAAATTTTTGTGTAGACTTATGTTCTCAGTTCTCATAGGAGTAGAGTGTTGGGTCATAGGGTAGCTCAGTTCCAGAATTTGGAGGAACTACCAAATTGTTTCCCAAAATAGCTGAACCATCTTAGACTCCCATCAGCAATGCATAAGGAATCATCCCACTTCGCCACATACTCAATGTTATTGAGTCTTTTTTATTACAGCCATCTAGTGGATGGGATGGGGTATCTCACTGAGCTTTCCATTAGTATTTTCCGAACGAATATCGATGTGGAGCATCTCTCCATGTGTTTACTGGCCATTTGTCTATCTTATTTGGAGATGTATCCGTTCAGATAGTTTCCCCACTTTAAAGTGGGGTTAGCTGTCTTTTTATTGCCGACTTGTAAGAGTTCTTGAAAGGATGCTATTCCCTTATCAGATATACAACTTGTAATTATTTTCTCCCAGTCTGTGGGTTGTCTTTTCATGTTCTTCTTAATGTTCTTTGATGAACTGAAGTTTTAAATTTCGATGAAGTCCATTTTTTTTCTTTTGTTGCTCATGCTTTTGTGTCTTATCTAAAAAACCCACTGCCTGGGCGGCCTCTGTGGCTCAGTGGGTAGGGTGGCGGCCCCACATACCCAGGGTGGAACCTGGTCCTGGCCAGCTAAAATAGCAGTGACAACTGCAACAAAAATACCCAGGTGTTGTGGTGGGCACCTGTAGAACCAGATACTCGGGAGGCCGAGGCAAGAGAATCGCCTAAGTCCAAGAGTTGGAGGTTGCTGTGAGCTGTGATGCCACAGCACTCTACTGAGGGTGACAAAGTGAGACTGTCTCAAGAAAAAAAAAAAAAAACCCTACTGCCTAATCCCTAAGGTCATGAAGACTTATGCCTATTTTTTTTCTAAGAGTTTTATAGTTTTAGTTCTTACATTTAGGTCTTTGATTCATTTTGAGTTTACATTTGTATATGGTTGAGGTAGGAGTCCAAATTTCTTTCTTTCTTTTTTTTTGAGAGAGTCTCAAGCTGTCACCCTAGGTAGAGTGCTGTGGCATCATAGCTCACAGCAACTTCCAGTTCTTGGGCTCAATAGATCCTTTTGCCTCAGTGTTTCGATTTGTAGTAGAGAAGGGGGTCTTGCTTTTGCTCAGGCTGGTCTTGAACTTGTGAGCTCTGGCAATCCACTGCCTCAGTCACCCAGAGGGCTAGGATTACAGGCATGAGCCACCGCACTCGGCCTCAAATTCATTCTTTTGAGACTATCTTGATGCCTCAGCACCATTTGTTTCTTTTCCTAAATAATTATTTACTGAAATAAATTGATTTTAAGAAGTCTAAATGAACCCAACTCTAAAGTTCTGATTTAAACAGAATATAATCAATACAATGAATTCTAGGTCACCCCAGAACATTTTCTAAATAAGGAGTGGACATTAGAGGTAGGATACTAAGGGAGAACTGTGCTTTAAACCTTTGGAGTTTTAAAATCAGATCCTTTACGTTTTGATAAGTGTCTAAAGTTCAGATATCCAGGGGAGTCATATGGTGGAGGTATGAGTATTATTAGTTAGATGGTACTGTGTTTCCCCGAAAATAAGACACTATCTTATATTTATTTTTTCTCAAGAAGACACACTAGGGCTTATTTTTCAGAGGATGTCTTATTTTTATTAAGTATAACACAACAATCCACATTTATTCAAATACAGTTAAATCATCTTCTTCTGGAACCTGACAGGGGGAGCTGACCTTGTTGGTGGGGCTGGTGCTAGTGATGTGTGAACTCCTTTCCCCTAGCTGTTTGCACATGTGCAATAGGATGCCTGTGATGGCGGTTACCACATGTGCATCCACATGTGCGAATGGCTCTGAGAAAGGAGCTGTGGCAGATAAGAGGTATTCCAGTCTTCCTTACCACATCGGTGCTGGAAATGCAGGGCGTGGCTATGCAGCACATATGCAGATATGCTGCATAGCCACGCCCATCACTAGGTCTTATTATGAGGGAGGGCTTATATTTAACAAATGCATAGAAATCCTGCTGGGGCTTATTTTTTGGGTAGGTCTTATTTTGGGGGAAACACGGTACTAATTTAGTGCTCTGTAAGCTTCAATTTACTCCCAGGCACATGTAATTATTCCCAAAATTGAGAGAAGAAAATCCCTTACCTGAAGGCTTCTGTAGGATTTGCCTCCCTTGCTTCTTGTCCTGTTCACCTGACATTTCTGCTTCTGTTTCTGCTTCTCTGTTACAGAAAAGAAGAGGAAAAGCTCAACCAAGGGAAAAAAGTCTCTGTTTATTTAGAAGACACAGACTAACATCTCTAGATGGTAAGATCCAAAAATAGGTTGATTTCTTTCTTCAGCTTTCTGATCATCTCTAAAGTGCATCTCCCAGATTACTTTTTAAGGTTAAGTGTTTCCTATTGAAATTAGAGGAGCTGGGGGAGGCGCCTGTGGCTCAGTGAGTAGGGAGCCAGCCCCATATACCGAGGGTGGCAGGTTCAAACCCGGCCCTGGCAACCTGCAAAAAAAAAAGAAAGAAAGAAAGAAAGAAATTAGAGGAGCTGGGTCAGGGAGATAAAAGTCTTTTCTTAGCTTTATGAAGCCCAACTCTGCTGCCATTAAAGCTGAGAGAATTCTAAGGTTATTTGTGGCCTTGGGGTTACATGATCACCACCAATAATGGTAAATGTTCAACATGTAAATAAACCTTTTTTTACGTGGAAAGATTAATATCTGCTTGTTTTGGTTTTTTATTTTAAACACATCATAGTATTAAGAGAGTGAGTCAATAGATATGCCTGGCGTTTGAACAGGACTTTTTTATTATTTGGAATTGATTTCAATGTCCAGCATTTAGTTATTGGGACGATGAATCCAGTTTAGTGTGTGATTTTATTTTTCCAGTTTTCAGGTTCATCAGGCTTAAAAGGCAGGATGGTTTATTTTTCATTTGCTCAGAATTTCTCCCATTCTCTGAAGTAAGTCCACATAGTCACTTTCTAGATGTCATAAGCCAAAACATGCAAACTTGACTTTTATACTGATGACTGGTAATAAAAGAAGATTCTTGACTTTAATGACTCCCACCTGTAAACCTGTCTGGTTCTTCTAAATGGGAGGAAATTTTTATAGACCGTTACTAGTTACAAAGAGGGTCACATTTTTATAGGCTAAAGTGCCAGGGAAAGCCCTCAAGGATCTATAAAATAGACTATGGGGAAAAATGAAAAGGATTGTATTGTGAAACCAGAAAACCACAAAAATTTGGTATTAAAATTTTCTCTTTGTTAAAAGAGAAACTATTGTCTTTCCAAAAATACACTTACCTTAAAAATATACTTTATCTTATCTCAAACAAATTTGGGTCATGGAAAAGAAGGATGGGAACTGTTTTAGATGAAAAGAAACTTAAGAGACTAACTCCAAATGCAATGTGTGATCTCTTGCTGGGTGGATATTAGTCTGAACAAACTGTTAAAAAACTTGAAGGGGCAATTGGAGAAGTCTTGTATATGAAAATGTTGAATATATGAATAATAGTAGGGAATTACTGTTAGTTTTTATTAAGTGTAATAATGGTACTGGGTTATTATTATTATTATTTAGAGAGAGAGTCTCATTTTGTTGCCCTCAGTAGAGTGCTGTGGCGTCACAGCTCACAGCAACCTCCAGCTCTTGGGCTTAGGTGATTCTCTTGCCTCAGTCTCCCAAGTAGCTGGGATCACAGGTGCCAGCCACAGTGCCCGGCTATTTTTGTTGCAGTTTGGCTGGGGCCAGGTTTGAACCTGCCACCCTTGATATATGGGGCTAGCACCCTACTCAGTGAGCCACAGGCACCACCCTGGTACTGGGGTTATAAGGAAAATGTCCCTATTTAAAAAATACATACTAGAGGCTCAGTGCCTGTAGCTCAAGTGGTTAAGGCACCAGCCACATACACCTGAGCTGGTGAGTTTAAATCCAGCCTAGGCTTGCCAAACAACAATGACAGCTGCAACCAAAAAATAGCAGGGCTTTGTGGCAGGCACCTGTAATCCCAGCTACTTGGGAAGCAGAGGCAGGAGAATAGCTTGAGCCCAGGAGTTGGAGGTTGCTGTGAGCTGTGATGTCATAGCACTCTACCCAGGGGGACAGCTTGAGGCTATGTCTCAAAAAAAAAATGCATACTAGAGCGTTTCAGGAATGAATGTCAGCTTACAAAACTTTAGCCAAAAAAAAAAAAAGAAAGAAAAAAAGAAAAGGCTTCAAAATTTAGGTGATGAGTGAATTCCATACCCTATCTTCCTTACTTTTCTCTGGTTTTTTTAATAATAAGAGACAGAAGTGTGTGTGCAAGCAAGCTGTGGATCGCCCAAGGGTCTATGCAAGGCACTTAGAAGCTATGACTCTGAGAATTATGTAATAAGGGTTGGGAAACTTCTTTTAAAAATTAAATTAGGGAGAGAATACATTTAAGAATAGTTTCCTTTAGAATCAGGAAGAGATTTAATATTACATATAGGCAATTCATAATGCCAAATTCTCACTGTACTCTTTTCAAATATATCATCCAGTTAAACTTTTGTTTTCTGTTTTAGGAAGCTGAAGATGTCCAAGAACAAGAACTCTGGTATTTCTTGAAGTTAATGGAACGTTTTCTTTGGCTTTTCCAGTTGTGAACTGTCTTCCGACCAATTCTGCAGCACATATCTACGTAGATAAGCGACATTCCTCTAGCGTCAGCATAGGGCTAATTCCTGGTAGATACCACCAGACTCACATACAACCTCATTATGAAGGTTTTATTTAATTTCAGACTGAAGACATTTTTCAAATGCTCTTTACCTCTTGTACTAAGGAACTGTATTTTTGCTCTTAAACACTCCTTATGGATTATAACTTGTATATACATCGATTGCCATCAAAGGGGGTAGGAGCCAAATTGTCATGCCATTTCCTTTTACATATTGGTTTCGTTAGAGAAATACTCTTGTTATAAAAGTTAATGTGGTCACTCGCTTTTCTTCCCACATTCTCAATTAAAAGGTGAGCTAAGTCTCCCAGCTGTTTTGGATTGATTACATGTACTAGGAAGTTCTAAATTCAAACTGGTAAACAATATTTTTGTGGGTTACCTGAAGTATGCTACACATCTTCTTTCATTGAACTTCTTTCAGTATCCCAGGTGGTAGGCTTTGCTGTTGTTGCCATTGATTAATGCAAGGTTTACAATAGCACAAGGCTAAATCACGTGGTAACTACAAAAGGTCACATAAACGCTAATGAATTGGCATGTGCCACTTCATATTGTTTGTCACCTTTTTTCTATGTTGTAGAAAATAATAAGGACGTAGGTTTTCCATGAGCAGCGATTGACTATTTAGCTTCCTATACTTCCCCCTCACCCAGTTCAATGATCTGTAACAACAATCTATGCTCATTTTTAGACTGGAGTCATGAAGCCGTTGAACCTAAGGACTCAGAAATAGTTAGTACACGACTACTTTGAAAATAGAAGGCTGGCGAAAAAAAATCAACCCTAAATGATAAAATTGTACAGTATTCTGCAAAGCTCTGAGACCTGAGATTATTTAAATTCCTTCTTTATTTTTTGGGGTTGCAATTCATCACTTACTGGGGGCTGGGGAAATTGGGTATGAAGTCAAGAAATGCCAACACTACTTCAACTGAAGGAAACCAATTTTGTTCTTTTTTCTCCTTATAGTGGTAGATAAAGCAGACTTTATAAGTAGGCTATGGAAAGAAGAGTGTCTTTTTTTTTTGAGACAGAGTCTTACTACGTCGCCCTCAGTAGAGAGCTGTGGCATCACAGCTCAGAGCAACCTCAAACTCTTGGGCTTAAGCAAGTCTCTTGCCTTAGCCTCCCAAGTAGCTGGAACTACAGGCACCCGCCACAACGCCCGGCTATTTTTCTGTTGTAGCTGTTATTGTTGCTTAGCTGGCCCGGGCTGGGTTCGAACCTGCCAGCCTCGGTGTATGCGGCCGGCGCCATAACCACTGTGCTACGGGCGCTGAGTCAAGAAGAATGTCTTTTAAAAATTGTATTTTCTAGCATCTTTCCAAATTTAAGCTTAAACATTTGTACCAAGGACTGAAAAGATCTAAAAGTTAAGGCTCAAGATCAGTCTTCACAGCCTGATACTTCTTCAGTTTTTACCAACTGGGCTGCAGATGTTACTTCTTTTTTTTTTTTTTTTTTTTTTTTTGCAGTTTTTGGCCGGGGGGCCGGGTTTGAACCCACCACCCCTGATATATGGGACCAGTGCCCTACTCCTTGAGCCTCAGGCGCCGCCCTGAGATGTTCCTTCTTTTAACAAACTAGAAATTTCAAATAGATTATCTGTATTTAATGTTCATGGACCTTGGTATTTTTCCAATATGTACTTTAAATAAATTGATATTATTTACATGGAAACTTTAATTCTGAAATTTCTTCCATACCTGTCTTAATTCTGCCTTTTATACTGCCTAAAAAAGTGAAGTTTCAATATTTGGTTTTGAAACTAAAAATGAGATTTAAAGTCTATTGTTACCTTTAATTCGTATCTTGTATTTTTCTTCATAACTCAACCTTTGCAAATATAATAACTGGATATTTCTTCAAACAGATGGCCTGGATGACGTTCCATTAATAAAACAAAGAAATAGTTAAAATTCATGGACAGTTTTTCCAGCTAAACCTGTACTTTGTATCTTGGCTAAATAGTCAAGGGGTAATATAGCCCTGGTGTTTAGCATATCCTTCCTAAAGAGGACGTTTGTATTTGTAATTTATTTTTTATTATGGTTGAAACACTATGTAAATGAACCTTCAGTAATAAAGAATTATCAATTATGTAATTTGCTTATATGCTAATTAAAAATTCCACACAACAGGTAAAAGAAAACAGATGGATGTGTATTTTGCCTTCACTGAAAAGCTGTTTTAGTAGGGAGAATCTGGAAGTCAATAATGGGTAGCATTAGTTTCTACTGGATAAACAAAAGTATATGGATTGCCACAGAATTTCCACATTGCTTTGGATAGCTGGGAATTGGGCATAGCAACACCACTTAGGTTGAGGACTGGGGACTCTTTCAAAGGAACATATAAAATATTCTATTTGGTACACTTGTGTTAGTCGTAAAAGAGAAAACTACCAGCTTTTCAGTCTAGTATTAATTCTTCCCCAAAGCTGAGGTGTATTTCCGTACCCTTCCTGCTTTCATTAAATATGTGGCAATTCCTAGAAAATAGGCTTACTAATGACTAAAGCAGAGCACTGTCCCATCTCTCTTTTCAGAAGGATGTGATGCCATCTCATTTCAACTACTGTGATACCATAACTTTCTTACTTTTCCAACCAAAGGTTACACAAATCCCAGTTCTCTTTGTCCTCTAATACAGGCTGTAATAACTCGATCATATTGCCACTGCCAATATCAATTTTAATAAACACCCAATTCAGGATGCTAACATAGCTACACTAAAGAGAACAGGAATCAAAGAGACTGTGGCACTTATCACCACAAGGGCCTAACACGTTGTTTACCTACTGACTATCCTGTATGATTTCCTAGGTCTCTCTGAACTCTAAATTTACGGAAATCTATTCTGAGAGCAGTCAACTAAGATAATCTATAGAGATAAAAACGTCTGGAATACAGATGATCTAGTCTTGCATTCCATAGAAACAAAATTACAAATGTTCCAAGGCTGCAGTCCACTTCTTTCAAGCAGAAGAGCAATCAGCTTCCAGCTCGGCGTTAAGCAACCGCTGGGCAGAGAAACCAGGCGCGGCTCTGGAAAGAATCCACGTTCCTATGGCAACTTCGGACCGCCGCACGTTCCCGCGCTGCCTCCCGCCCGACGTCACTTCCGGTGTCACCTGTGTGGTTACTGGGAGCCGTAAACAAGGTGCGCAGCATCTGCAGAGCTGTCGGGATGCAGCAGAGCGGAGCGGCTGGAGGCCGTGGCTGCGCGCTCTGCCCGCTGCTGGGCGTCCTGCTCTTCCAGAGTGAGTGCGCCGGCCGGCTCCGCTCCACTTCCGGCCGGGGGGTTAAGAAAGATGGTCGCTTTTCCGGTTCCGGGGGGGTGGTCTCCGGAAAGCCCCCGCTGGGCTCCGGGAAGGAAGGAGGGGGTTGGCTCGCGGGAGGATGTTATCTTCTTGCCGCTGACCGCTGAAGGGGGTTGGGAGGATGTCAGCCCTTGTCTGGGCCTTGGGAGCTGGACCAACCAGCTCGCGTGACTTAGCGCCATATTCTGGCGCTGGCTGAACTGATGGGACCCCAAGAGCTCTGGCTTTGGGAGTCCCTGGCGTTTACTTGTGATGAGATACCAGTGTTGACGGCCGGGGTTTCGTGCGCTGTATACCTTGATTAGACAAAGGCCATTCTGTGTTCAGTAGTTTGACCCAGGAACTTTGGGAAACAAAATACTGACTGCTGGTAATTTTGGTTTTTGTAGGTGTTGTCAGGGGGTATGAAATAAAACGTTAGTCTCAGAAGGGATGGAATGTGATATCGTTTATAATCGAGAAACATTGTTGAGGAAAAAGCAACAGCTTTAACACACTTTTTAAATAGTACAAAAAGGGGCCTGTCAATTCTGTTAAAATGTTGATCTATTAACTAATATCAGAAATACAGTATTCACACTATGACATAGTCTTAAAATTTAGATACGTTTTGCTTTCTTGAAATTTCAATTTGCATAAATTTCAGTCCAATTTAATTACCTTCATTTTGGGGTGCGATTATTTCTGGGATTTTGTGTGTCTGTGTGCTTCCTCCTTGAAAATGAAATATTAATATTAGTATAGCTAGCCTTAGAGCAAATTGTTAACTTAAAAATTTTTTTCCTCTGGGTAATGAGGATTCTGAAAGGAACTTTTGATATTATAGAAAGACTTTAATGACATCAGGTGTCCTAAGTCTTAGCAGGTAAGGCTGGAAGTTCTTATTTAACTGGTGACTAATATTCATGCTGCCAGCACACTCCCTGAACCCTCCCAGCTGCCTGTGTCGTTGTTAAGTGTCCAGTTTTTTAGCATAATTATTTTGCAATATAGTATTTAGACTGGCCTGCTGTCACTCCAAATAAATCTACTTCTCTCTCTCTTCTTCTCCCTCTCTCCCACTCTTACTTCCTCCCTCCCTTTAATTTGTGTGGGTACTGCAACACACATATGGGAAATGTTCAAATATTATCCTATTGAGAAAAAAATTTCTAGAAATAGTGAATGATTTCTTAAACCTAATGTCATTTTGCATTGAAGATTATCTGTCAAATCCAGCAGGCCAGATCATCCAGTCAAACATTTAAAGTTGATTTTATGATCTCCATGTACTTATTACTTGAATAGCTCTTTTGTCTTTTAAAAAAATAACAGCTTTATTGAGATATAATTTACATGCCATATGTGTACAGTTTACTCGTTTAAAGTACAGGCAGTCCCCAGGTTATGAATGAGATAGGTTCTGTAGCTTTGTTCTTAAGTTGAATTTGTATGTAAGTTGGAACAGGTACATTTATCTGTTATCTGCAATAGCCTTGTTTGTAAGTGCAAGTTGTATGTAAGTCAGATGTTTGTAACTCAGGCATTGCCAATACAATTCATTGGCTTTTTAGTATAGTTACAGTATAGTTACGATTATTACCACAATTAATTTTAGAACATTTTCATCACTCCAAAGAGAAATTCTGTTAACAACTTTTTGTCCCAACCCCTGGGAACTACCAATTCTTTTTCTATGGATTTCCCAATTCTGGACATTTCTTATAAATGGAACCATGCAATCGTGTGCTCTTTTGTGACTGGCTTCTGTCACTTAGCATGTTTGCAAAGTTCATCCATTTTTTGGTTTTACTTTTGAATCTATTAGGTGATAGACTTTGGTTTCATACCTGTGTGTAATTGCCTTCCATTCTCAAAAATAGAGCCCTGCAAATTATTAGTTTTCTTGAATTCTTCTGAGGTTGTAAGTCTGGACCTGCTATATCAATTGTCTAAGTATGCAGAAACAGTACACGAGGGAGCCTAGGGTTCTTACACTTTTTTCTTCTTCGTTTAAGTATATCATTATATGAATCAAAGATTGTGAGACTTATGTTTTAGAAAATGAGGTGAACGAAATTGGGAGCTTGGTTTCAACATATTTATTTATTTAGTTTCTTCCAGGTATAAGATTACTTATGTGAAAATGTGACTTTCTTCTTTTTCCCCTAGATTAAAATTTTTGTTAATTATTATGACTATTTCTATCGCTGGCTGCTTTTAATCTGTCAAGGAGACCTTTTAATTCAGGTGAAAAGATAAGTATCTGTAAGAGGATAAGGCCTAGGAGGGATGTTTCTGAATGAATTAAGAGTGGGCGGGTATTTTTCTCCTTCTGTTTTTGTGAGTGGAGGAGACAAGCTCTCTGACATCTATTGATTTTAAAACACTTTTAATTTCAGTAGACTATGTAGAGAGAAAAGTACACATATCTCAAGTGAATATAGCTGAATGAGTTTTCAGAAACTGAACATACCTAAGTAACCAACACCCAAATTAGGACATACAGAATATTCCTGATATTCCAGAATCCTTCCTTGTATTTCCTTCCAGTCATTATCCATTCTCCTTTACAAGGAGCCAACATCCTGACATCTAACCATGTAGATTAGTTTAGTTCATCTGTGGATCTTATTTTTCTGTAACATTTAGGACTCACTTATCCAGTGTTTGGATTTCAATAAAGTGACTTGAAATATTGATTACTTTGTGGCAAAATGATGCTTGTAAATATGGAATTCAGATATGTTAATGAGGAAGAGGTTGGTAGGTAAGTAGCTTGCTATTATTCAGTAACCAAAATTTGCTCTGAATGTGTATTTTTATGATTGTTTTGTAACAACTTTACTTTTATTTTTGTTGGTTTGGTCCAGTTGGATAAATATTACTAAGCATCTGCAGTGGGTTAGGCTCTGTTTTGATGAGCTTAGGGTCTATTGGAGAAGATAGATAAGGCAACAGATAATTTTAGAATCTTGTACTAAGAGGAGAAGGCACTACAAACCATGGGCATGCAGGAGAGATGCCCTTGTGTGCCAAGACGATAAAGGATAGATTTCCTGGAGGTGTAACCAGAGTTAAATCTTGAAAGAATAGGAGTTCATTAGAATAGGAGTTCATTAGAGTTCAAAAATTCTAGACAGAGAGGACATATACAAAGCATGGAGGCATTACAAAAGTTTCCAAGCAAGTTTTCTGAAACTTGATTGAATTAACTTTGAGTACATATTGACCCCAAACATGTTTCTGTTATCAGGAGGTTGGTGTGCTGCAGCCAGTTCTTCCGACTCTCAGAGGCCAATTAGTACATCTCTTCCTAACTGAACATTCAAGGACTTTATCTTTGTAGCTTGAAATTAACCATTGTAGGTGTATTTGCACCATAGAAATTGTCCAACTCTACATATCAGGGCTTTTTTTTATTTTGGTAAAACTTTTGTTGTGTATGAAGAGACAACTGGGTGTAATGTTTGGTTTAGGCCAATGTGGGTCAGCTTCAGCTGCAAGTAGGGTCAGTTGCTAGTTATTTTTAGTTTCCTTCCTTCCCACTAGATTAATTTACTCCCCCCTGCGGCCCCTCCCCTCTTCTTTACTGTCTGGGAAGCTGACTCTATAGATGGTCATTCAGGCTTTCTTCCTCTGCTTCCAGTTAGGTTTGGCCAATGGAAGTCATTGGCAGGAGACTGGAGGGCAGGAGAAGAGAGAGGCAGATATTTCTTTCGTGCTCCATCCCTGTCTTAGTGTCACGGTCTATGGTGCCCACGTCCCTCTAAAACAATAGCTCCACTCACACCAGGATCTACTAACACCATTCCTTCTCATTGTCCCCTCAGGTCTGGGGTTCATGCCTTTGTTGGTTCCCTTGACCCTGGGAAGAGTCCCTTTGGAAAGTCTCTTTCCTTTTGTGAAGTGGCCCCATTCTTCAAAATCTCAGCTGATTGTCCCTTTGATTTCCTGTCTGGCCCCTGATTGATAGGATCATTTTCCCTCTTGCTTGTGGTCTCCATGGGAAAGGATAGGCATCGTAGCCATGCAAAGAAAATCTGAGTATTTTTAGGAAAGGAGATGAGGAGAAATGGATACTGAACTGGCAGCAAATGTATATTTACTACATCTAATTTGAGGTTCTGTGGTGGTGATATTCAAGTGGCTGAATCCAGTAACATCTGAACACTCAGAGGCAGATCATGGCTAGAAATATAGATTGGGAAATCATTAGCCTATTAGTGGTTACTGAAACTATTTTTAATTATTATGGGCACATAATAGTTGTCTATCTTTACAGGGCACATGGGATATTTTGATACAGACATCCAATATGAATTAATAAAATCAGAGTAATTAGGGTATCCATCACCTCAGTCAGTAATTGCTAAATCTATAAAAGTGGATGGGTTTATCCAAGGAGAACACGTAGAGTGACCATGGGCTCAGGATGGAGCTTAAGGAACACCAGTGTTTACAGGATAGGTAGGAAAGGAGATGCCTTAGAGATTTAATTTGAACTGTTTGAGATGTGGAGAGTGTGTGTGTGTGCGCGTGCATGTGTGTATATAATACAGGGTGGAGAGTTGATTGGAGTGAGACTAATGAGATTCTGATTTATAACTATAACCCAGATCTCTCTTTGATCTAAATTAGAGGTTGGCAAAACTTTTCCATAAAGGACCAGAGAGTAAATATTTTAGACTTAGTGGGCCACATAGTCTCTCTTGCAACTAATTACTCCATTCTGCAACAGTCATAGACAGTATGTAAACAAATTAACATGACTGTGTCCTAATAAAACTTTATTTATTTATTTTGAGACCAAGTTTTACTTTGTTGCCCTCAGTAGAGTGCAATGCTGTCATAGCTCTCTACAACCTCAAACTCTTGGGGTCAAGTGATCCTCTTGCCTCAACCTTCCAAGTAGCTGGGACTACAGGCACCTGCCACAATGCTCAGTTATTGTTAGGGAT